ATCACTACAGTCCCCTATGAAGAGTCCCTCTCCAGCATCCAATTGAGGATGATGTGATAAAGCTGCTTCCTGACAAATATGTATTGTCTTTTACATTTTCTGTTCTCTTGCAGGCTGTTTATTCTTCCTGTACTTCCCAGCAACTGCAATTACACTGACTGGCACGGAATTCCCTCTCTGGTGTAGGCTGCTGTTTCCTCACCATACTGACTCAGAGCAAAGGGCCACTGGAGTCTGGCACTGGCAATTCTGCTTTGAAGCAAAGAGCCACCAGAGCCAGCACCCTGCCCCAACAGCACCCAGCCCCAGTCTGCAAAGGGGACAAACTCTCCTGCCTTTGGCCATGCCAGCCTGGGGGATGTGAGGGGTTGCAGGGTGGGATATTCCCCGTGCAGCCCCCGGTGCCCATGTCCACTCTCACCACAGGAAGCAGCTCTGGTCATTTAGCATGTTCTAAAAGGAAAAATAAAAGGCCTTCAGTGTATGCAACCATGCTCTTAAAACAGGGAAGCCTGTGTGGGTTAAGAGCAGGATGGTGACTTGGGGACCCTGCCACTTGCAGCAGGACCCCTTGGAGGGACCCATGCCTTTAGCAATGCCCTCGCAGGGTGGGCTGCTCTTAGCACAAGAGCATCACACAGCGCATCCATTGGCGATGCCCATCTAGACCACAGTGCCTACGATGGCAGAGCAGGCGTCTGAGCGGTGTTATCCCATCTTTCACATCTTCCCTCAGGCCTCTGCCCTTGCCGGACTGTGAAGAGAGCTTTGCTGAGGGAGAGGAAGCGTTAGGAGAGCTCGGCAATGCCGCTGATCGATCTATACCTGAGCCGCTGGTAAACAGGAAGCTGCTGAGCGGCTTTATTCTTTTTCTTGGGTTTTTTAGGCTCTTTTGATCTGGTTTGAGTAGCTGTTTTTTTTTCTGCTTATTTCATCTCAGGAAACACATTTTTTCTGCCACCTCTTGCAGGAAACGTGCAAGATACAAAGTGTTGAAAACCTCCCAGTTAGCCCAAGCCGCTCTACAAGAGGCGGTGAGTCAAAGGCAAGGAGGGCATCACAACGGCACTGAAAACTTGCGCTGAAAAGCTGAAGCTCGTAGTAGTGAAGGAAAGGCTAAACCAATTCAACCGTGCAGAATACAGACACTTGCACACATCTGTGCTATGATTAGATCACAGAGTCACAGTCATTAGGATTAGAAGGGCCCTCTGGAGATCATCTACTTCAAGCCCCAAACTCAGGGGCTTTTCATCAGTATCAGAAAGAGCTTTCAAAGCATTGTGGTCAGGAGAGCCAGGGGCATAGAGCTCTTTCCAGAGCTGCATCACCAGCCTCTTAGGAACTCATTTTCAACACCAAAGTCCCACCATGGAGCCTGCTGTCCCCACCAGGCTCGTGCGCCATCCACACTGCTGCAAACAAGTGCAGCTGCACTGAGCCCATGTGCCAGAGTGTGATGGGGAAGAGGGATGCCACTTGTGCTCAGCACCTTAGCATGGACCCAGCAAGTCACCCCAGACACATCAGGAGCAATGAGGACAGACACTACAAGGGTTTGGCAGATATCTGTGACTTGTCCTATGCTGCAGGCAGCAGTGCAGGTACAAATCCTGCAGGGATCAATGCTCACTGTGTTTAAAGTCTCTCCTAATCTTGCTTAGGAGAACAAGCAGATAATCAGGCCCCTGATGCTATCAGGGAGACAAGGTAATGCTGGCAGGAGAGGGTGAAGCTGTGGGGAGTAGAGGGACGGACAGGCATTCCTCCCACCACAGCCTGGAGCTGCAAGCTTGGCTTTGTCTGCAGCAGGGCTGATCATGCACTGACAGGAATGGGTTTGCTTTATGCATCAGTCCTTCTTAGCCCCTCTTCACCTCACCAGCAAAGAGGATCCCTTAGGATACCCAGGGCTATCCCACCACCTACACTGTCCTCCTCTCCTGCGGGCTGGGGATGGACATGCACACCTCAAACATGATACAAGATACAGCACAAACCTACCAGATCCAGCAAGAGGCTGGGTTGAAGAGGAGGAGGAAGAGGATCTTTCTGGCATGCAGATGCATGGGGCAGGTTTTCTCATTACCAAACTGCAGTTTCATGTTTTTCTGGTGTACTGAAAGCACAAGAGGTGCTCTTGTGGGTTTTGAATGAGTGGGACAGAATAGATGAACTTTTGTTACTGTGAAGGTAACTTCTGCATTTCCTTTTATAATACCCAGAATTTCTCTTGCTCTCTCTTTGCTGATACAGCCCAATCATCTCAAGAACCATCAAGGATTCATACCTCACCTCTGGTAAGTTTGGAGGCAGAAGGGGTAAAAAGTCAAACGTCTCATTGCTGTTGTGAAATCACTGTGTGTGAATGTGTCTTTCTGAGCAGAACCTAACACAAGACCAACTTCAATAGACAAGAGTAATAGCAAAGTGTCCATATTGCTTGGGCAGAACAAAGGACAACTGAGAAACCCTGAAGTCAAGAGCTGAGCCCCGATGCTTTAGGCCACCTTTAAAGAAAAAGGAAGCTCTTGAATTAGCCTCAGATAATATTGAATATCCACTAATGAAAAGTAGTGGTTCGGGTGTTAGTGCTTCTTCTACCCCGAATGCTGTCTGCTTGTTTCATCTTTATTCTATCAAACATGTGCAAAGGCTGTGATTCCAAACACAGAGGTTTTCCTTAAGGAAGAGCACAGAGCAAAGGTGGTACCCCATTCTGCACTGGGAAGTCTGTGCACCCCACTTTGCTACTGCTGATTGTCATAAGCTGGGACAAGGAAGGCTTTCCTTTGTGGTCACTTAGGCTTTTTGTCAGTAAAGTGGGTCTGAAGGTGAACCAGAACAACCCTCGTTTATTCCTGTTGTGTTTCGTTTCAGTTTTGGAAAATTAAATCCAGAGAGTTAAAGTGGAGATTCTCCATTATAATGTAATAAAATAGATCCAGGGTCCAAGGCAGCAAAGTGGAACCACTTCATAAACCCCCAGATGCACAATGTTTGGGGTTTTCTTTGCCTTTTGAAATGTGAATAGATGTTCTGATGAGATATTAAACAGCACCTAACCACATATACCACAGGAGGTTAATGTTCTATGTACTTCCCATAAAGGCATGCTACTCAACAACACGAGTGTGCTCCCAACATCACTTCATTTATGCTCTCCGTGTTGAGCTTGGATTAAAACACACCTTTTTACTAGCCTATTGTGGAGGAAGTAACTACATAGAGCAATTACATGTTTGCCTCCAGGCTTTCCAGAAACCTGTGACCAAGAAGGGTCATTGAATCACTCGCTGTGTTAAAGCCTCAGCCCTGGGACTCATCTACAAGCCTGATATTCAGACATGATTTCAACACGAAGCTGGGTTTGAGTCTAGGATCATAAACTATGGCCTGTGCATGCTGGTGGCCAACGAGATCACACAAATGGCCTGCAGAGGTTACAGAACCATGTCAGGAGCAGCATTCACCACCCTCCATCAAAATGCTGCCCCCAAGGGTGGTCCTTCAAGAAGCTCTTCAGGAAACAAACTCATGTAGGCTTTTGGATACGCATGCGACCAACAGGATGCTAACCGAGGGACCTGGAAAGGACTGGGAGAGGTTGGCCTAGCAAAACACAGCCATAACTGCGGCTGGCACAACCCCTGCAGCACACACTGCCAGGGGCACGCCAGGGCTGCCTGCTCTCCCTGCCAATCCATCTGCTGCAAGCAGAAAAGGCACCAGAACAACAGGTTTTCAGCAGCATCAGAGAAGAGGCCGGTTCCCTCTGCGGTGGCAGGGAGGTGCCATGCAGGCAGTGGGGAAGAGATGCTGCCTGCTGCTGCCTGCATTTGCCTGCTGCTGCCTGCATCTGCCTGGTACTGCCTGCATCTGCCTGCATCTGCCCACTGCTACCTGAATCTGCCTGCATCTGCCTGGTACTGCCTGCACCTGCCTACTGCTACCTGAATCTGCCTGAATCTGCCTGCTGCTGCCTGCGGCTGCCTGCTCTTGCCCTGACATCTCACTCCTGCCACATGGTCACAGTACAGTCCACCTGTGCTGAATGGAAGGAGCTTGCCTATGGTAAAAGCGCAGTGGGGAGGGAATTGCCACCAGACAGAACATGATGCTCTTATGAACAGCAGGCAGCTCGGCTGCAAATCAGGGGTACCAGGGATTGGGACCTTCCAGAGGTCTCACATCCCATTTGAAGTGTTTTCAGAGAACCAGTCAGGTGAGAAAGGATCAGCCCTTTGGCCATTGCCGAAGTGTGAACACACCGTGCCTGAGCTGAAAGCATCATCTACGCTGTTCCTCCCCTAGCAGGCCTGGCTCAGCTCCTCTCTCATGTCACAGGCAGTAGGGACTGAATTACCAAAGGTAAGAAGCACCACAAAGCTGACGGATGCATATGGTCACTGTCCCCCGAGCTGTGGGTGCAAACATAGAGCAATCAAAAAGAGGGGAAGGAGGGGCAAATTTTCCATATGGCAAAGGCAGCTGTGTGAGGAGGAAATGTGTGGCAACAATTAGTCTTCATAGAGTCATAGAGTCACAGAACGGTCTGGGTTGGAAAGGACCTTAAAGCTCACCCAGTTCCAACCCCCTACCCATGGCAGGGACACCTCACACCAAACAGGTTCCTCCAAGTCCCATCCAACCTGGCCTTGAACACTGCCAGGGATGGGGCAGCCACAGCTTCTCTGGGCACTCTGTGCCAGTACCTCAGCACCCTCACAGGGAAGAACTTCTGCCTTAGATCCAACGTGAACGTCCCCTTTCAGTTTGAACCCATCACCCCTTATCCTGTCGCTACAGTCCCTGTTGCAGAGCCCCTCTCCATCACCCAAAACACACCAGGAGAGCACAAGAAGGAAACCAACGGGCTGTCCTAAAGAGAAAACACCACCACCACGGAGTCCCCCTGTGGAACAGTGCCGGGGTTTGGGCACGTTCTCCTCAGCGGCGGGGGGGTAAAGCAGGTTCCCGTGCCTGGGAGCGGTACCTACCTCCCAGCTCAGCTCCGCTGCAGCCTCCTCCTCCTCCTCCTCCTCGGCCGGAGCAGCGCTGTGGCAGGAGCCGTGCGGGATGCTGGAGGCAACAGCTCTGAGTGCTGCAGGGCAGCAGCTGCTGGCTCCTGTGGAGCTCCCAGCTGGAAGCTGGCGCAGGGACAGCACCGGTGGCTTTGGGCATCACGGCTCCCCCCTCCCTGAGCAGTCAGATAGAGCCTGGGTGTCTCCGTGTGCTTCAGCCCATGAGGCTGTTGTGTCCATGGCTGCTGCCGCTGTCAGGCAGCTCCTCTGCATGGAACTGTGAGCTGGGGTCCGAGAGCGCACACAGATTTCATGTTACACCATTACAGTGCACAGTTCTCAAGCCACACAGTTGCCTCTTAGGGGTGTCTTCCCCTTGCACAGCCTCTTGCCCTGTGCACCATCTACCCCCCTGGGCAGCAGCATCTCCTCTGGAGGTGTCCCCCACCAGACTCTTCCTCAATGGCCAGAGCCACCCCCCCACCCATAAGACATGCACGTCTAAGTCTTGGGCTGATGGGATGGCAGGGACTGGCATGGGATGGCAGGGGCCACCACGGGATGGCAGGGACCACCATGGGATGGCAGGGGCCACCACGGGATGGCAGGGACCACCATGGGATGGCAGGGGCCACCACGGGATGGCAGGGACCACCATGGGATGGCAGGGGCAGCCTCAAGCAGAGGATGGCAAGAGGCATCCAGGCACCCCAAGAGGAGCAGCAGGAGGAGGGATACAGACAACATCTGCTGATGGGACCCCTTCTGGGCTTCTGCAAAGCACAGCCCAGAAGTGCCTTGGATGCCCACAGCTCTCCCTCAAAGGACATCTCCGCAACATGGGGTGACAGTCCTGCAACTGCAACCATTCCCCTGCCAGCATCTCACTGCTGGGAAGAGGGGGCTTTGCAGGCATTCAGCAGAGGAGTCAAAGGGATCTTAGCTCCTCTTTTCTGTCATCTGGTGTAGCATGTTAGCCAGGAATTGCAGACAACAGGAAAAGAGCTGAGCAATGGATTTGGGAGAAGAGAGCGAAACAGCAAGAGCACAGGGAGGGGAGATGCAGGGAGGTCATGGGCAGCCCGGACAAGGCAGGACGAGCAGTGATGCACCAGGAGGGAAACAGGAAGGAGCTGGTGATGAACATCTTGCACAGTCCTCAGCCTCGGCCACGCTTGAGCTGATCTGTCTTAGGTTTGTGTTCTGAGGTGCTTCAGCACCAATCCCTCATCCGCAGCACCATGCTGACCCAAGGGAGCAAGCTCTGCTGCCACTGCTGCCAGGTGGGTGTGGAGCTGGTTTTCTGCAGCTAACTGATGCTTAACTTTACCTGCTGTAAACCGAGAGCATCCAGTTCCCCTTTGTGCAAAGCCTATTTGACTACACACCCCGGCATTCACTTTTGGCCTCCTCACAGCTGTGTGGCTCTGCAGAGATGTGGTCCACCTTCTGCTCTGCTACCAGCTCTCCTCAGCTTCTCCTTGCACACCCTGGAGTTCCTACTCCAAATCCCTCCAGACAACAGGAGAAACCTTCCAGAACACACCATTGCCCTGTAGCTCTCCAAAGCTACGTAAGTAAAAGTACTGTGAAGATCAGACCTGTCCATGAGTAGTGCCAAGCAAGCCAAACTCCTCCCATCTGCCTTGCCCTGGGGTCTTTGTCTCCTGGCATTGTACCTCACTCTCAGATGCTCCTTCTCCAGTGTTCTTCTTTAGCACACTAAAGACATGCTCTTTTCTGCAAGAAAACATTAAAGAATAAGCTTTGGATCTGGAGCTAGCATTTGTCCCGAGGTCCTGACTCCAAAACCTACCCTATTGAAATACCCTCAAATGTTCACCCTCACATCTCAGATCCTGATTGTCGTCACGTCACGGGGCTGGTTTTGTGGTGGCACACATTGCAGCAAGGAGCAGAGACTACAGAACAGCTTGTGGGAAGGGCAGGGCCAGAGATTAGCTTGAAAGGGAAGCATTGGGAAGAGGAAGATGCATCAGGGTCCAGACTGTCCCCACCCAGATTGCTCCTGCCTGGGTTTATACTTGTAAAAGTAAAATTAAGACTATATATCTTTGATTATCATCACGGCTCCAGTTCCAGAGCAGGATTCCAGTTCACTCCTGTGTATTTCTCCTCCCTTTCCACTTTTCCTCTTGCAGTTTAGCAGGACAGAGGCCCACAGGGTCAAATTCAGCCACCCGGGTGCAGCTCCACTGACCACAGCGGGGTTGCTGCACAAAGCACTGGGTGAAATGCTCCAGCGATCTTTCTTTCTGGCCTCATCCCTCTTCCCATCCCTGCTGCAGGTCATTTACACTGACTCGGTTTGATCTGAGCTCTTGTGGTGACTGTATTCCTGAGTCAAAGCTGCAGAGTGGGAACAGCAAACTTGGGAACGGGCACGCAGATGTGCTGCATTTACCCCAATGGAGAGGGCCTCGCTGATTTGCTCCTTGTTCTTAACCTTCAAGCAGAAACCCAAAGAGGTTTCAAAAAGCAGATGGTTCATACCTGAGGTTTCCACTTTGAGGCTTTCATTGTGCAACAGTGATTTGCTGAGGATAGCTTTTATTTTCCAATCTGCTCCAATCCTCAAGTCATGCCAGCAGGGATTGACTCCTGCGCCCTGTGCTCCTCATCCCTGCAGTGTTGGACTGGCACGAGACCTTCCATAGGGTCACATCTTTCAAAGTACTGCTCAAGAGGTCTGGGCAAACTCCCAAACACCATTCAGAGCCTCATGGCACCAGCCAGGCTCCCAGGACCCCTCCAAAACACTACCCCATAGGGAATCACCCTAAAGGAGAGGGGCTGCTTGGATGTGTGAGCCCTGGGTGCAGCTGGCCCTGTGTCAGCCACACTTTGTCAGGTCCTCATGGTGTCCTCTAAACAGGACATGAATCCACTCTGCCATCTTCAGCAGAGCAGGGGCTCAAATGGGGAAAGGTAATGTTTCAGCTAAGTCTGATGCTTGGTTTCATGATGACTTCAGTAAAAACGTGCAGGAAGCTACCAAAACCGTACCAGTCCCCGATGCAGGAACATGTGGTGATGCTTTGACTCAGTTTCTAGAATAGAAAAGTCTTTCAGGCAGCTTAAAAGCAGGTTTTAGAGAAACCTGTTCACAAATGGTTACACCAAATCTGATTGAAGTGGGGCTTATTAACTGAGCTTGCCTTGAGAGGAGTAAGGTATGAAGTTGATACAGCAATACATAAACAGATATAACCAGACTTGAACCGAACTGCGATGTCACTTGCATGATTTTAACCAGATCAGCTCATAACCACCCATTAAAGCGTCATAGCTTCTTATGGCAGCAACTCGAATCCCTGCCTTCAATACCCTGTGCTAAAGCAGCAAAGCGGGGTGTTGAGTGATGTCTGGTAAAGCGGGGCACTAACGTTAACCCTGCTTTCCTCACCAGTTTCAGCTGAACAACCTGACCTGCATGCAGGGTGCACGCATTTCATCCCTCCAGGGGGTGAAAAACCTGCCCAAGGGTCAGCACATACAATGCTGCATCCGTTCTCCTCCGATGGGGTATGAAAGCCCACAAGAGCCCGACCAGCTAAAACCCCACACAGGCACTTGGAACAAGAGTTGCAGGGGCTGTTCTGGTGGTGTTGTCTTCAAGCTGCGGCTTTGGTTTTGTCTGTCTGGAGCAGAAGTAGACCTGTTGCCTTGGCAGGGGGTTCTCAGGCTCACTTGTGCTCTGCCTCAGCTATACTGGGGTTGAGAAGCCTGGTTTTGCTAGGAGAGGTCCCTGCTTCCCTGCACTTAAGAGCTTTCCCAGCCTTGAAGTGGAAACATACTCAAAACTTCATTAAACCTGTTTTCTCCAAAGCATTCCTTTGTCATTAGAGGTAGAAAGATATTAACAAAATCAACCTAGCATGCAGGAAAACCACTTCCCATCTCAACCAGTCATATTTCATTTGCCAGTCAGCAGAAGATCTCTGCATTCAGCTGCAGAGCACTTCAGGAAAACCAGAAGAGTCAAACCTGCCATGTGCTGTGGGCCACAGCTAGAAGTTTGCCCTGCCTTTTTGCCTGTATTTAATTTTCTGAGCTTCCTTTATGTATCATAAGGATGCATTTCCAAGCCAGGGTGCAAACTTTGTCATTTTTCTCTGTCATTGTTAAAGAAAATATAGGCATTAAATCTTCAGCACAAAAGAACAGAGTTATACCCTGTTGCTCAGATACCTGAGGGACAGTCACATAAAATCCTAGATTAAGAACTGAAACAAAAATACCTCTATAGGTGTGATAGGACAAGGGGTGATGGGTTCAAACTGAAACAGGGGAAGCTCAGGTTGGAGATAAGGCAGAAGTTCTTCCTTGTGAGGGTGCTGAGGCGCTGGCACAGGGTGCCCAGAGAAGCTGTGGCTGCCCCATCCCTGGCAGCGTTCAAGGCCAGGTTGAACAGAGCCTTGGGTGACATGTTCTAGTGTGAGGTGTCCCTGCCTGTGGCAGGGGGCTGGAACTGGATGATGTTAAGGTCCTTTTCAACCCAAACCATTCTGTGATTCTATGATTCTATGAATTGAGATTTGAGACTTAGTTTCATAACCAGAGGCTCATAGAAAAGAAGACTTCATCAGTTCATCTTGTATCTCCTCCACTCGAACTCCAGTTGACTATAGCAGGGTTATTTCCTTGTTTATTACCTTAGAAGCATTGCTGCAGCCAAATGACCGTCCATACATGGTAGATACAGCACTAACCACTGCAGCTCTGACAAAATCCTGTCACCCCTTTTTGCTGGTTCCTGCATCACCTGCCTCATAGGGATATTTAGGAACAAGCATCATTGATGAGCAATGTGGATACACCCAGATGGAAGCCAAGATGGGGCAAAGTATCAGGGTGTCTTTGAGAAAGGGAACGTTGAAACCTAGATACTGTGTTACCACATTAGGCGGTTGTTATCAGATGAAGTGTGAACGTGGCTGCTGGTGGTGGAGCTGTGATGAAAGAACATGCTATCTTTTTATCTAAAATTGAAGCAAAACCGTAACACTTCCATGCATCAGACCTGGCCAGTTGGTGCCTCCTGTTTCAGACACCTTCTCTTTGGAAATCCCATGAGAAAGATGCTTCAGGAGGAGGTGCAGGCAGCAATTCTGCATTCCTCCCATCCAGGGGCAAGCCAAGGCACAAAGATGCATGGCCTGGGTAATGGAGTAAAGGCACCCTGCCTCTTACCAAAAGTCGACATGGGAAGTTTCAGCTTCTAAATGCAAGGCTTGCCCTTGTGGTTGTGGTTTAAAATGGTATTTGTACTTCCAAAACTGA